ATTTATTTATTTGGGAGAAGTGAGGGATGTGCACTGTGTCATCTTACTGCTTTGTGTCTCTTGTTTATGACCACTGGAATACAATTCTGTGGAGGTTGGCTACTTCAGTTTAACTTTATGCTTGGAGTTGTAGAAAAAGAAGTTTCTTATGTTAATCCAAACAAAAGCATAGTTATTAAATTTATGATTTCAACACCGTCGTCAATAGAATTGACCCTTGATGAGAAAAAAAAAAAAAATCAGTACTTTCCAGAATGTTCCCTGGGTTGCTTCTATACATAGGCATCTTTTATCTTGGAAATCTCTGGAAAGAAATAAAATCTGAACATTAATTATTTAGCTTTAGCCTCAACCTTATAAAAAACTATAAATCTAAGGCAATTTTGTTATTATTATCAAATTCTGAATTTTGAGAGTAGATCTTGGAACTGAGAATTTCAAACCTGGCAATTACCATCCGTTATAGATTGAATTATGTCTCCCCAAAATATGTGTTGTAAATCCAGGGACTCAGTGGTTAAGAGCTTGGCTGCTAACCAAAAGGTCGGAAGTTTGAATCCACCAGCCACTCCTTGGAAACCCTAAGGGCAGTTCTACTCTGTCCTATAGTGTCACTATGAGTCAGAATCGACTTGATGGCAAAGGGTTTGGTTTTTGGTTTTTATGCCTGTGGTTATAATCCCATTTAGGAATGGGTTGTCTTTATTATGTTAATAAGGCAGGATTAGTGTAGGGTATATCTTGAGTCAATCTCATTTGAGATATAAAAATACATAAAACAAATAAGCAGAGAGACACAATTATGGTGTTGACAAAGAATACTGTATATACCAATGACTGCCAGAAGATTGAACAAATCTATCCTGGAGGAAGTGCAGCCAGAATGCTCCTTAGAAGTGAGAATGGCAAGACTTTGTCTCACATACTTTGGACATGTTATCAGGAGGGACAAGTCCCTGGAGAAGGACATCATGTTTGGTAAAGTGGAGGGTGAGCAAAAAAGAGGGAGATCCTCAATGAGATGAATTGACAGAGTGGCTGCATCAATGGCCTCAAAGAGTAATGACTGTAAAGGTGGCTCAGGACAGGACAGTGTTTCCTTCTGTTGTACATAGGGTCACTATGAGTCGGAAGCATCTTGACAGCACCTAACAAGAGCCAGTACCCTGAATTTGGACTTCTAGCCTCCTAAACTGTGAGAAAATAAATTTCTGTTTGTTAAAGCCATTCACTTGTGGTATTTCTATTGTAACAGCACTAGATAAATAAGACACTAACCTTCACCCCCAAACAAAACCAAAAAACAATGACAGCAAAATCTGTCTCCCTGATGACTGTCAACTCTAAGACAAACAATTATAATAAATGACTCTGTAAAGCAATTTGAGAATTAACAATAACTTTATAGGGAATATTGAAGTAACCTAGTTCTACACAGATATAAAGACATGTTGAAGTTCTCTTGGGGCTTTACCAAATGTCTGTAACATCAATTAATTTTTAATCCACAAATATTTATATGTTAGTAAACTATTCAATCCTTAAAAATAACTTAAAACAGTTGAAATTTTGACTCAAGTTTTGTTAGTCTGTTGAGGTAGTAAATCCATGAGCTTTAACAATAGGTCAAAATTAAACTAATCCCTAAGCAATCATTTAAAACAATTTAGCAGCTGAGAAGATTCCCATATCCTGAAAGTATAATTCTCAAATCAAATCAGTCAAATGGCAGAACTGCCAAACCAAAGAATGTAACATCAAGAAACTCATGAGCTGAATCTGTGTTCTATTTTGTTAGCTGCTAAAAAATGCATAACCATGAGCCTGAAGGGAGGAATTTCCTCACATTTTCACCATGTGGAATTAAAAGATGTTGATTACCCAGTTCCTCCTAGGGCAAATACTCACTTAAGGTTATAACTTTTAAATTCTAATATGACACTGTATTGCCTAAGGGACCATTTGAAACATAAAAAAAAAAAAAGGAAGTTCATCTATGTTCTTGTTGGGACAAGAGCTTTGGGGAAAGTAAAATTTCTAAGCCTTCTTTCCTGACTTTCATCAGATGGCTATCCAGAGCCTATCTTTAATCTTCAGGGATTTTTTATCTTTTCAATTCAGATGTATGTTCTTCTGCTGTTTCTCCATAGGACAGAGTATAATGGCATCAAATTTATATTTAACATTAACCTAAATTGAGAGTCTTTCACTTGATCACTTTAAAGGCAGTTTGTTTTCACATTACTATTTAAATCACTATCTATAAATAGTCTACATTTTTTGTGGCCTACTTAGAAAATATTTTCATATAAATTACGCAACATCTTAAGTTCATGGTGTGGGGAAAATGTAAAAACATGATGCTTTTATAAAGAATTGGTCACAAATGCTCTTTATTGTGATCTATTACTATTGAGATTCAAAGGGAAATATGATTCATTTGAACCTCTAACATATTAAAGAGTAATTTCTATTAACTATTATTCAATATATTTTGTTTATTTATTTTTTAGGGATTAAACAATGTTATTGCTATAGACTTTGATTACAGAGAAGAATTCATCTATTGGATTGATTCTAGCCGGCCCAATGGCAGCCGCATAAATAGAATGTGTTTAAATGGAAGTGACATTAAGGTAACTAGATATTATAATGATGGAATTATTGAATATTTTGTTGTTATGGTTGACTTGAATAGAAAATGTTATTTGATGGTAATGATACAGCTCGTAGAATGTATTAGGTTGGCATGAATTTCACATTGCACAGTGTAAGTTAATAAATACTTTAAAATGAAATATGAGGGTTTTTATTTTTATATTTCATTATGAAGCTACTACTTGCATTGAGATAAAATCAGACTGAGTAAATATTGGATTGGAACCTCAATCACAACCCTGGCAAATATGACGGACGCTTTTGGCTTTGAATCATTACTGTCTGAAATTCAATTGTATTGATTTAACTAAAAGAAAAAGTTGAGTCTGATAATCTGTAACTGAAAAAAATTAAATGTTAGATTCTAGATTAAAATATAGCATTATTAAAATTAACCTACTTTAGGTGGAAATAATTGAATGCATGTGAATAAAATCATGACTGTTCTGATTAGATAGCATTGTAATTAAATATAGATTACAATTCC